AGATATCTTTTCATTTTACCATTTCCTTTGGCCTTTTAGGTTCTGAGGTGTGAAAGGTCCTTTTTTCTTATTTGTTGCTGTTTCTCTTCTTATACACACTCCCTTGTCACTAGACATCCCGGGAGGTCCTTTTTCCTTATATTTTATTGTTGGGCGCGCCCCATCTCTCACTACATTCGGTTTCTGACATGTAATTCTGGACTTCTTTAAGATTGTTACAACAGTGAGAAAGGTCAAAATGGCTCCTAGTAAAAGCACAGAAGCCTCTACACTAACCTCCCAAAATAGCAACATTCCCAAGCCAAAGTCCAGAAAAGACATACCTCTCCGAATTTACCACCCTGCAGTTCTGAATCCGCCCCGTTAGAGGGGTCTCCGCAGTGCCGGCGATGTTAACAAGTTCCCGGGTTTCGGCACCAGATGTCCCGCGCAATAGTCTCGCCGGCAAGAATCACACAGGACATTCAGATCCTTCTGCAGGAAAGCTTTAATGCATCTTGAGAGAGGAGAGCATAAGCTTACCAGAGCGGAGACCCCGAGCCAAGAATCCCATCCCCTAATAAAGGCTGGCAGCCCCGCCTGGGACGTGTTACCCTATGAATGGCTTCAGCTCCTCAGGCCATATGAGCCACGGGATAGGCAGAGATCAAGGAAATGGAAAATTACCCAGTGCCTGTGAAATAATTTACATTCAGTGCCTGCAGGCACCATCATTGTAATGGAGAATGCAGGGACGGCTCCCTACACTCATTAGTTGACTTAAGTGTCTGCAGTGATGAGGAAGGTGATGCCTGGATTCTAAGCTAGTTCTCAAAGATTTTGGAGCCAGAGTGATGTGCATGTATATATAAATCAGCCTGTGTGCCAACTGCAGCATATGCACTATAGGTAGCCCACCCCAGTGTTAGCATAGAAACAAGCATTGTAGCATACCTAAGATTATAGCGCAGAAAGTTAGGCAGCCTGGCTCTCAAAAGAGAACCAATTGCATATATAGCTATGGAAGAAAGACTCCTTAATTCAAATGGAATCTTGCATTTGTGACTTTAATCTTAGCATCACAATTGGGTTATGTGACATTTTCCATAACAATTCCTTTAACTTCCCCATGATGAGATTAATGGTAAACACTCAATTGCTGTTAGGAGATTTATTTAAGATACTGCCCTGTGGAAACTGACATAGTGAGCATTATGGAGAATAAAGGGATATGTTAGAGAATATTTTTAAGCCTGTTTTGAGAGGTTTTTACTGTGTTTCTAAAGGATGGTCTTGCTTTTTACAGTTTTAACTATGCAGTTGAAAGCATCAGGGAGAAGTTAAAGGTGAAACCTCTGCTTCTACAGGTAATTGGTTAACTGATACCACATTCTGGTATTTCCTCCTCAATTTATTATGGCATTCACACTTTTGAAGTAAACTCAAACCATAAATAAGTACAGCTAAAGATTTTGATTGAGATAGTTAAGATTTGAGGAAAGTAGTATAATGGTAAGTTTTGTCACTTGGGGTATCTGCATTTGTATCATCTACCAATACAAAGTGTGCTGTGACTTACAGCTGCCAATCGGTGAAGCCAGAACTTTCAAAGGAGTGATTGATGTAGTAAACAAAGAAAAACTTGTTTGGAATTCTAACTCTGATGATGGAAAAGACTTCGAGAGAAAACCCCTCTTAGAAACAAGTGATCTGGAATTGCTGAAGGAGGCTATTGAAGCAAGGAACTCCTTAATTGAACAAGTAAGTACTTTATTTTAAAATTCTGTAAGTGTTCAGTATTCTTTTGACAGATTAATTCTGAAGCTTTATATAAAATTATGTATGTAATATGTAAAATGTAGTGAATTAAAATGTGTCTATCACTCATAAACAAGTAAAATAGTAACTGCCTGCATCCTGTTTTCTGTTTACCTATATGTCATTTTTTTCTTTCTTTTTTTTATATTTTACTAAAGTTTTATTTTTTTTTTTTTTTTTTTTTTTAAATTTTTTTTTTTTTTTTTTTTTTTTTTTTTTTTCTTTTCGATTGTTTGAGGAGATCCACCTGCCTCTGCCTCCAAGTGCTGGGATTAAAGGCGTGCGCCGCCGCCGCCGCCGCCGCCACCACCACCACCACCACCCGGCCTAAAGTTTTATTCTATACAACTTGAAATACAGACTCTGACCTTTTTGGCATTGCAGACTGTCCAATTTTCTGGAAACTTACTACTGATTTTGATTAGAGGGGGAAAAAGGGCACAATCATACTGGGGGGGTAAAATCTACCACAGGAGCACATTTAGTCTTTTTTCTTTTAAGATTTATTTATTCATTTTATTTTTATGCGTATGAGTGTTTTTCCTGCATATATTTGTGTTTACCATGTGTCTGCCTAGTGCCCAGGGTGGTCAAAAGATGGCATTGGGATCCTGTGGAACTGGAATTAACAGATGGCTGTGGGCTACCATGTGTTCACTGATATATGAACTCAGGTCCTCTGCAAGAGCAACAAGTACTCTAATGGTTGAGTCATCTCTCTAGCCCTAGTTTGGTTTTATTGTGTGTGGGCTCAGAGTTGAACCTAGGACTTGGAGGATAGATACTAAGCATGTGCTTTATCACTGACCTATGCTCCACACACCCCAACACATTATGTTACTCTTAGCATTAGTTTGCATATTCTGTCCATATAAGAGGAGTGGTATAGTTTGTATTTTCTTAGTAACTATAGGTATGTGTAGTGACAGTTTATTTTCAGTGTTGTGTGGTGTTCTGACATATTATTATAGTACAGTTTATTGTCAGTTCTCTCATGGATTGACTTAAAATTGCTTTTCTCTTTCTGTTAGAAATAACGTTTCTGAGTTTGTTATGGCATTCCTCTGTAGTCCAGTGCTTCCGAGATTGAGGCAGGAGGGTTGATGGGGTTTAAGGCCAGCCGAGGCTCCATAGTGAGTTCCAGGCCAACCCGAAATTATAGGCAAACAGAGAAACCATGATCGTCCTCCTGCTCGATGTGCAAAATTTTCCTGAATTCTCAGCAACAGAATGACTACATCAAGGACCCTGCCTATCTTCTACTTTACCAGATGCCAAATTGCTTAGAAAAATTAAAGCCATCAATTTATTATAGTTAGTATATAGCTTAGGTCTGCGTTGGCTCTCAAAACTTTAATAGAACATAGCAAGATTATTAATGCTGTATTATTTACACTATACCAGTATTTGTGGCAATAAATAATACGTATCATAGACTTCTCGAATCTTACAGCAAAGCATTTGAACCTTTGATTTTTCACTTCAAAATTGAGTTGGTCAAAGTTTAAAAAAAAAAAAAGTTTTTTAAGACAGTCTTGACTCTGTTGCCCAGACTTGCCATCCTACTGCCTCATACTCTTGAGTACTGGGGATACAAGTATGGACTACTTACTATACCTGCTCAGGCCATACAGATTCTGGCAGCATTTTCTGACATCTATGCTGTATAGGGAGATATTTTTAGAGAAATTATTTGCCATTTATAACTTACTCATTGACTTTATAGTGAACATAATAATGACTGTTATTGGATAGTGATTGTTGAGGGCCTGGTGTTTGCTGGCTAAGTGCTGTACATGCACTCTTATTCTCACAACCATGTATCATCCCTACTTTACAGATAAAGAGTCAGAAGCTTAGAATGTTTAAAAAAGTTTACAGCTAATAAAGGGAGAGCTGGGATCTGAACTCAGGTCAGTATCAGATCAGAGGTCGGACTGCTACCCACTTTGCTACATTGCTTCTTCCTCCTCCTTTTCTTTTCTTTTCTTTCTTTCTTTTTTTTTTTTTTTTTTTTTTTTTTTTTTTTTTTTTTTTTTTATGTAGTCTTGCCTGGCCTGGAACTTGCCTTATAGACTGGGCAGCCTTGAACTCACAGATCTGGCTGCTTCAGCCTCCCAAGTACTGGGATCAAAGGCGTGCCACCATGGCTCCCTGCTAGCCTGCTTCTCTTGGTTAGTAAGGCATAATAAGAAGAGCAGGAGTAGAATTGGCAGTGATCATAAATTGGACACATAATTGGCTCTTTTTTGAGTGTGTGTATGTGTGTATGTATGCACTTTTAATATGCATAAAGAATGATCTTGTCATCTAGATGGATAGCCAAAACACAAGTGCACATGCTTTTACTAGGACATGGTAGGGTATGATGTGGATAAAGAAAATGTGATACTAGTAACTAATAACAGGTACTGATTATATGTTTGTGTGTGTGTGTATGTATGTATGTATGTGGATAAATTTTAGAGAACAAGACCACTTCAGGTACATTAGCTACAAAAAAACAAAACAAAACAGAAAAGCCCCACAAGTATGTTGGTGAGTGTAGAACAAATGTAATCCTTGGGTACTGCAGTGGGAATACAGTGATACAGTTATAATAGAAAACCATAGAGGAGAGGCTGGAGAGATGGCAATATTTAAGAGGACTTGTTCTTGCAGAGAACCTAGGTTCAATTCCAAGCACCCACATGGCAGCTAACAACTGTTTGTAACTCTAGTTCCAGAGTATCTGACACTTTCTTATGACCTGTGTCACATGTGTGATTCACATACTTACATGCAGACAAAACACTCATATACATAAAAAGAACATAAATACATCCAAAAGAAAGAAAGAGAGAAAAAGAAAAGAAGAAAGGCAGAAAGGAAGGAAGGAAGCCATATGGGAAATACCAAATGGAGGCTCCTCTAAACGTTCCATTTGAGGTATGTACCCCAAAGAATTAAAAGCAGTGTCTTAAAACCATCCCCATTCCTATTAGCATTATTCACAGTAGACCATAGCAGAAGCAACTCAAGTGGTCATTAACAGATAAGTAGATCAACAGATTGTAGACTGTTACTCCCCCTTAAAAGGAAAGGGAATTCTGACATAAGGTGCAACATTAGTAAACCCGAGGCCATTGTGCTCAGTGAAATAAACCAGCTACAAACACTGGATGGCCCTATGTTGTGAGGAAATTCAGAGACAGAGGCTTGGGAATGGGAAGATGGGGTGTTGTTTAGGCTTTCTGTTTGCAAATTGAAGCATTTAGGAGCTTACATAACAATAATACAAATCAGCTTAATACTGTTCAGCTATACCTAAAAATGATTATAATGGCAAACTACTTTTAGGCTATGATGGTAAAACTTGAACTGAACCACAGTTAGGTTTATCTTAAATTGAAATCCTAAGTGTGAACTGGAGTCAGCTTTCTGTGTCTTAGGACAACTTTAAAGGTGAAATGTAATGATGATGGTAATAGCTGATACTTATGGGCCCTTACTGTATGTTCTGAAAGTGTGTTTAGAATTGGCTATTGATCCTCAGTACAGCCCTAAGAGGAAAGTAACCTGGAACAGCAGATTGTTCTTTGGTGACAGGGGCCTGATGGGTATGTGAGACAGAAAGAAGAAAAAACTAGGCTTGGGAGGCCTTGCACAAGTTTTGTCTTATGTATACAAGTTTATTAAGCAGTACAGCATTTCAATTTCCAGTTTCCTTTTCTTTGGAAAACAAAAACCAGACTGTGTTTTCAAAAGGTACAAAGAGCTGCTTGGCCTGCATGTGGCAGGTTATAGACTGCCTTGAAACATCTCCCCGGTGCACACTTGTAAAGTTGATAGCTAAGGATGAAACTAAATACACGTTGTGTGAGTTTGTCTTTCTTTACAGGTTGCAGATTTGGATGATGAATTTGCTGACTTGGTTTTAGAAGAATTTAGTGAAAATTTTGATTTGGTACCAGCTGAAAAGGTAATGTGTTATTCACTCATTTAGACAAAATTTTACTAAGTGAATATGGTTTGGTTTTTCTGTTTTTGGAGTGTGTGTAAATGTGTGTGTTAACCTTTTATACTATTAAAAATGGTGGTTTATGCTGGGCAGTGTTGGTGCACACCTTTAATCCCAGCACTCAGGAGGCAGAGGCACATGGATCTCTGTGAGTTCGAGGCCAGCCTGGTATACAGAGTGAGTTCCAGGACAGCCAAGGCTACACAGAGAAACCCTGCCTTGAAAAACCAAAATAAACAAATAAATAATTTTAAAAATGGTGGCTTAAAAATGAAAGTCACTGCTCATATAAGTCCTAATGCCAGCAGTATGTTGTTTCCAGACACACTCTACAGAGTTAGAAGTGGAGTCATTTTTCTTTATATACATAGAGTTGGGGTCTTTAATTTTCTCCCATTAGTAGCTCTCTAAATTGGGCCTGAGGCCCACTGAGTAGGATATCCCTGGTACTGGAACCTAGACAACTACCTGGGGTAGTGGGGTCGTGATTCTTAGAGGAGGAGAACCTGCTACTGACACTTTCCTGGGCCAGGAGAATTGATAGCTTCGTTCTAACCCTTGTCCTTAGGCCAACAGTGAGTGTAGCTCTCCCCATGCTTCAAAGAGGCTTCTCTGAAGCAGACAGACCACTACAGACAGTGCAGAGATCAGCCCCAGGGAGTACTACCCTTTGTCAGTATTTTTAAACATCCATTATATCTTAAACTTTTCTTCTATCTTCTAAAGCTTTGCTGTATTTTCAGAGGCCTCACTGTAGTGCTCATAAAGTCTTATTCTAGTGAGCAAGAGACACCAGACATCCAACATGCTGAGTAGTGATTAATATATATGCCATACAGAAGGGTGGAGGTGTGAGGAAGAGTGCTGTCTTACACGGGCACTCAGGGCAAGCCTCTGACCGATTCTGACGGGGACTAGTGTACTGTGCACAGGTCCATGTTCATCCTCTGTGTCTGCCTTTAGTTACAGACTGCAATACACAGAGTGACACTGGCTCAGGCCGCAGTGCCTGTGCTGTGTGGGAGTGCCTTGAAAAACAAGGGTGTTCAGCCCTTGCTGGATGCCATTACTATGTACTTGCCATCACCTGAAGAACGCGAGTACGGGTTTCTGTAAGTATGTGACCAAACATTAAATTCATACACTTGAAAAAAAATGAATAGGCCTTGTTTCATAAAAGTAGTCACTTAAAGTAGCCATTAAGAAAGAGACAGTGGTGGAGAATATCTCTGTAAATGATATATAGTCATAGTAATTTTCACTTGAAAAGACATTCTGCCCTCTTTGAAAACCTGTTCTAGGTAGAGCTGTGAAGGTGGCTATTTCCCATGTGTGTTGATTGTGCCATCCCAGTTGGGTCTTCTGTTTTGGTATTTGTCGAAGGTTGTTACTCGTTTAGTAGATAAGTTTATATTCATCTGGATTTCAGGGTTTTCTTGTGGTAAAGTATCTGTGGCTATAGAAAAAGATCATTGTTTTCTCCCTGCTGTCCAGCTCTCTACTTGCATAATAGATCTCTAACATCTGAAGTAGTGTAGGCAGAATAGCAGAAAAATGGGTTTTGTGTTACAAGGAAGGACAGTAATAACTTTTCACAGCTCTAAACTGGAACGGCATCATGTGAAGTGAGAATGGGCATGGCTTCATGCCATGTAGACTTCTCCCAGCTAATCCAAGTCACTTAAACCTCTGTATCAATGATGTGTAGGCAATAGGACCCATTTCCTACCACGACTTATAAAAATCCAGTAAGTTAATGTTTATTAAGCGTGAGGACCAGCGCTGGCATGTCGAAAGCTTCCATATTTGTATTAAGGTTAAAGGCAGATGGACTAAGAATGAGATTACGGAAAGGTTATTGTTAGAGGTGCTTAACTTACTGAGTCATATACTTCCTTGAGACTGATGAAAATTCCATTTATCTTTGGTCAGAAAAAAGCACCTATGCACAGAATCTGTCAGTTTCAGGAAAATTCAAACTTTTATGTTTCTTTAAGAATACCATCTCTGGGGCTGGAGAGATGGCTCAGCGGTTAATAGCAGTGGGTGCTCTTCCAGAGGTCCTCAGTTCAATTCCCAAGCAACCACATGGTGGCTCACAACCATCCGTTATGAGATCTGGTGCCCTCTTCTGGCACAGAGGCAGAACACTGTATACATAATAAATCTTTAAAACAAAACAAAAACAAAAACAAAAACCTTAGTTAAAAAAAAAAAAAAAGGAATACCATCTCTGTAAACAAGTTCCAGTTTCCACCGTAGATTAATGGTATTATTTAGCTATACATGAAATGAAATGAGAGCCTGACAACAACAATTGGAAAGAATATTCATTCATCCTGTAGATTCCTTGGTTTTATGACCTTTGAAGATATGCTTTTTAAGCCGAGAGTTCATGCAATGAAGATGTTTGCAAATATGGCAATACTTGAAAGAGAACCCATTAGTTTTAATTTTAGTTTTGAAGATTTATTTGTAAGACCTCCATTAAGTATTTTAGTCAGTGATGGCAGAGAGGGTTGTAGTGACATTACTTAGTGGGCCTGGATAACTCTACCAAAGATGCATGAGACCGTTGGGAGGAACCTAGTGATTTGTGCAGACAGCTGGTTCTTCTCTGATACCTCCTTTGTCTTGCAGGCAGTGGTATAAGGGTGACTTGTGTGCACTGGCATTTAAAGTGCTGCATGACAAGCAGCGGGGACCCCTGGTTTTCCTGCGCATTTACTCGGGCACACTGACGCCCCAGTTGGCCATCCATAACATTAATAGAAACTGCACGTAAGAGGAAGTTTTGGTTATTTTCTAAAACTGCACTCATTTACTTAAAAGTACTTTACTGATATAAATCATGGTTTTTGTTTTTTTTTTTTTTTAGGGAGAGAATGAGTCGTCTGCTTTTGCCATTTGCTGACCAACATGTAGAAATCCCTTCCCTGACTGCTGGTAACATCGCTTTGACAGTTGGACTTAAACAAGTGAGTGACCACATGGGTTCCATAGCAAATCGTGTACATATGATTTATAAATAGTTTATAATAGCAAAAAATTCACAAATCATCTAAATGTCATTATATGAATATGATGGCATATCATCAATATGGTTGGATGTCATACATTTGCTAGAAAGAAAAATAGATTAAGAGAAACCCACAGACAGTATGGATTGTAGTCAAATGAAGTTCAACTCCAAGTAAAGCCTACTACTTGTTGAAATATATGTGTCAAGCTTATTTAAAATGCTGTTTTATTCACATGGAATCTTTTGCTTATTTGTACATGGGGAGGAGTATCTCTGTGCATGGGCGGTGACAGGGTTATGGGGGGTCAGGGTTGTCTCCCTTTCTCTGTCATTAAGTTGCCCTAGGCTTGCCTTGAGAGCTTGCTGTCCAGCCCTGGCTGGTCTCAAACTTTTCACCACCATGCCTGGTAAGTGTTTACTTGTTTTGATCATGGCAGAAAGTTTGAACTAACCTTACAACTGATCAGGTAATGATGAAAGACATTTTGCTACTGGGGACTCTTTAAGGACCAGGGTTTGGGTTTCTTTTGTTCCTAGTAGGTTCTCAGCCCACAGCTCGCCAGTACTTGCACACAATAGGCATAGCCTAGACATTTATAGAGTGAATGGAAGGAAATACTTGGAGCCACATCTCGTTTGGGTGGGTTAAAACTCAGGACTCTCTTTTAGTTCAGATTAGTCAAATGTAGTTTTCCATTAAGCTTTGGCATATCTCCTATTGCGATAAGATTGTTACTTTAAACTTTTTAACTCTTTGTGATTAACTGCAGGTTTCAGAAATGTTTAGGAGAAAACTTAACATGGTCTGAATTTTGTACCTAGGATATTTTGGAGAAAGGGTTTCTCTGTGTAGCCACGGCTGTCCTGGAACTTTCTCTGTAGACCAGGCTGGCCTCAAACTCAGATCTGCCTGCCTCTGCCTCCAGAATGCTGGGATTAAAGGTGTGAGCCTCCATGCTTGGCTGAACCTGGCTTTATTACTGTTGTCTTCTCTGTCTTCCTAAAGGCAGGACCTGCTCCTTTTGCATATTTGAAGGAGCACTGCAAAAATTTGGAGAGTTGTCTACAGAGAGAAACCAGCACAGCCTTGATATGAGCAGGGCAGGAGTAAAATTGTATTTTCAAAGTTTATGTACAGTCCATACTACTTATGGGAGTATCAAGTTAATTTAAAATACTATTTTATTCCCGTGTCCATCTGTGTCTGTTCTGCTTAATTGAATATTCAAGTTAATAGAGAATTTCCTGTAACATAGTAAGAAATTATTAACTGGTATTAAAATACTTCATGAGTTTTTACTGAACCTGCATTGCTATGATGGGAAATTCAGGCAGACGGATACATTTTGCCAGTAAATTTTGGTGTGGTGTGATACATACATACACACATACATACATACATACATATGCGTATGTATGTATATATACATATGTTTCATTATTTGTTAGGATTTATTACAATGACATTTTAGATAGAGTTCTTATGAAAGGTAAAGGAGCTTTGTTTACATAAAGTTATAAGATTTGTGAATTTATTTCTCTTAAGTTGAATGAGAAGAATATGCGCCACTAACATTTTGTCTTGTGGTTTTGGGTGGAAGATGAGTGCTAGCTTGGAAGCTGTCCCATTTGCTTGCAGACTGCCACTGGAGACACCATTGTTTCTTCCAAGTCCAGTGCCTTAGCTGCAGCCCGTCGAGCAGGAAGAGGAGAAAAGAAACCTGGGAAAAACAGTGAAACAGAGAGTCTGCTGTTGGCTGGGGTAGAGATTCCAGAGCCTGTTTTCTTCTGCACCATAGAACCACCATCAGTGGCTAAGCAGCCAGGTACAGACAGTGTGTGGGTCAATGCATCGGTGTCTGTAGCCTATGAGAAGTAGTGTCACAGGTAGTCCTCAGGCAGCTTCCTGCGTGATCCTTAAATTATGTATGCAGTGTTCTGGCTGCAGGCCAGAAGAGGGCACTAGATCACATTATAGATGGTTGTGAACCATCATGTGGTTGGTGGGAATTGAACTCAGGACCTCTGGAAGAGCAACCCCAAGTCACTTTGATTTTTACAGACTCCATATATGTTAGCAAATTTTCTACTTTCATATTGTTCTCATTCTTATCATTGTAATGCTTTTGTTTGTTTGTTGTCCTGTTGGTTGTTTTGTCTTGTTTTAGACTGGGTTTCTCTGTGTTACCCTGACTGTCCTGGAACTCACTCTGTAGACCAGGCTGGCCTCAAACTCACAGAGATACACCTGCCTCTGCCTCCAGAGTTTTAGGATTAAAGGTGTGTGCCACCACCACCCGGCCTTGTAATGCTTTTTATGGGATTCCAAGCAATGGACCCTACACTCCCCTGCCTTGCCCTGCCCTCCTAATGTGTTAGATTAATTAGGACATGAATTCACTGTGTTGCATCTAAAGTATGAACCAGTTCTGATTTCCTGAAGATGGTTTGTCATTTTGCACTGTGGTTTCTCTTCTTTCACCTAGTCTTACTTACATTATAATGTAATTATAGTTAATTATGTTTCGCTGAACTTGTCTGTCTTTAAAACTCATAGGTCTCAGCTCAAACAATCAGTGCTTTCTGAGGCTCTCAATGACTTCTCAATTATGAAGACCACTTAAAGACAAACTTTATAGTTTTCTTTAGTCTCCTTAAAAACAAGTTGCACTCACAGATTACAGGAGAACAAGAGAAATCTTTATTTCCTCTCCCTATTTCCTAAGGTGCAATGGGAAAGAAAATCTCTAGCCAGGTGGGTTACAGTTCATTTACCCAGCTAGAGTACACATGAAAGAAATCCTAGTGCAGATGTAAGATCCTTAGTAATGAAAGTTGCTGAAGGAACAGTATTTAATATAAGGTAGATATAGCAGGGGCTGGAGCAGTGGCTCAGTGGTTAAGAGTACTTGCTCTTTCAGGGGACCTGAGTTCAGCTCCCAGCACACACATAGCTGCTTGCAACTGGCAGTAACTCAAGTTCCAAGGATCCAGTGCTCTCTTCTGGGTTCCTCAGTATCACCCAGTTATTGGTGCATTTATACATGCAGACACTCAGGCATAACACATCAAAAAAAAAAATAGCAAAATCCAAATCTGAAATGCATGTAATTTGAACATTTTTCATCCCAAGCATTTCAGATAAGAGATATGTATCCTTTATTATCATTATAAGCAATATAAAAAGTATTAATGACATTAGATCAAGAGAGATGGCTCAGTGGTTAGTGGCACCACTGCTCTTGCAGAGGACTGGTTTGGGTTCCCTGCATCCATTGCTGGATCATGGTGGCTAGCAACCATCCATAACTCAGTTTCCAGAGACTCTGACAACTTCTTCTGGCCTCCAAGGACATCATGCAAGTGGTGTACAGACATACAAGAAGTCAAAGTACTCATACACATAAATCTTTTTAAAGTACCATTTTTTCATATTAAGTCTCTGAAATCTGAAATCTGGTATGCATTTTACATTTATAGTACCTCTTAATTCAGAGCCATAATCTTAAAATAGTAGCCCGTGGCTACTATTAGACAGCCCAACTCTAGAAGTTAGAAGGCCTAGTTATACACCTAAGAATAGTTTGACTGAATGTAGTTGATAAAGCTTAGCTTTTTAATCTGTGGCTCAGCCCCCCCCCCAACCTTTTTTTTTGGCTGCACTTTTCAGTCTGTGGAACTTTTGTAAAGAAGGCAAACATATATATCAGCTAAGGTTATTAACACCTTACTCCACATAGCACATTTCACACAATGATTCATCTTCATCTCTTCTGTGGTTGAGAATTCACCATAGAGTGATCAGATGTAATTTTACCTTCCCTTTGCTGGCTCATCATTATAGCCAGTGTTTATGAAGGCATATTTGTGTGTGTGTGTGTGTGTGTGTGTGTGTGTGTGTGTGTGTGTTTTCCTGTTTTGTCAGTTCCTAGATTTGTCTTTACAAAATAGAACCAGATGAGGTTACTGGCCCCTTTAAAGCCCTTCAGTTGCTTCCCAGTGTAAAGCCAAACTTCTCAGCATAGCCTATAAGACATGTGCCTTCCTTCTCATCTGTTGCTGCTCTTCACCGCCTGATGTCTACCTGCCAGACTGCTCCTTTACCCAACTCACTGTGGAGATATGTGCACATCACTCACTCTTCAGCACCTCTCATTGGAATTGTCCTACCTTGTATTTAGTTTCTGTATTCACGGCTCTTTGAAATTTTCTTTTCTTTTTTTTTTTTAAATCAGTGTACCTGTGCTCACCACTATAGACTTATTTTTTAATTTACTTAGAAATGAAGTGAGGATAACAATAGGTATTGTTTAATCACTCAGATTTGGATCATGCCTTGGAACGCCTTCAGCGTGAAGATCCCAGTTTGAAAGTGAGGCTTGATCCTGACTCTGGACAAGTGCGTATATTATTGCCCAGCCCTAGAAGGGAGAGAAAGAAGGAAGGACATGCATATAACATTGACTAGTCTGTGCTCCTGAAAGAAAAGCTCTGATTAACTATTTAAGTTTCTCTTATGTATGTTGTCATACTAAATAGACATACTCTTTAATTCCCTAAAACAATTACATTTCACATATACAGATCAGTCCCCATCAGTTTTGACTTTCCATAATATAGGCTTTTGTGAAGTTTTAAGATAAGGTTCAACTCTTGTGTCTTCAACACTGATGCTTATAGAAGCAGCATACTAAAGGAGGTCAGAAACCATAGAAGCCAGTTTCTCTGTTATATGCATGTTGAAACTAGCCCATGGGTTGTCACTGCCTCCAACATTTAGGAAACATCTATATAGTTGGGAGGTTTTAGGGGGAAGTTATTTATCCCATTCTCAAGGCAATGTCTTCAGCATAGTTTCAAACAGTTGTCTGCATTTTCACTAAGAAAAGGGTGTTAGCTAGGTGTAGTGGTGCACGCCCTCTTAGTACTTGAGAGGTAGAAGCAAGTGGACCTCTGAGTCCTAGGATAGCCTGGACTACAAAGTGAGTTCCAGCACAGCCAGAGCTGTATAATGAGACCCTGGCTCAAAAGTATCACCACCACCAACTCTAGCCCACCCAAAAAAGAAAGAAAAGGTGAATCTGGACTTCACAGAGTTAAAAAAAAAAAAAAACCCTGTCACAAAGCAAACCAGGGGCTGGAGAGATGGCTCAGTCGTTAAGAGCACTTGGCTGCTCTTCTAGTGAACCTGGGTTCAATTCCTAGCACCCACATGATGATTTGCAACTATCTGTATCTCCAGTTCCAGGGGATCCAATGCTCTATTCTGGCTTGTCAGGCACCAGGCATACCAGTAGGGCACAGACACACATGTAGGCAAAATATCCATACACATAAATTATTAAAAACTAGGGCCGAGGAGATGCCTCAGTGAGTAAAAACCCTGGCTGCACAGGCTTGATGACCTGGATTCAGTCCTGGACTCCAAATAAGTTGTTCTCTGACCTCTACACATGCCCCTCCTCTGCATCATACACAAACATACCACACATACAATAGTGAATAATAAACAACTGCATACGAAGAAAGAAGATATAAGGCATAATCCAGAACATTGATTGTACTCTTTCTTGTTGTATTGGCCCGAATTTGATAAAGGGTTAGATAACTTGATGTTACTTACTTACCCAGCTCACAGTCCCAAACTGTCATAGAAGGAGATTACAATTAATTTATTATCCTAGCCAGAAAAGTCAGTTTTCATGTAGGAGCCCCCAGAAATTTTTCAGAAGAAATTTAGTTGTAATTAATGGAAAATTACTTTAATATGCGAACATATTTTTATAATATTAAAAAAAATTTTCCTTGTATATAGTATTTTTATTTTTTCTCCTTTTTATCAACAGACAGTCCTGTGTGGTATGGGGGAGTTACATATTGAGATTATTCATGACCGAATCAAGAGGGAGTATGGCTTAGACACCTATCTAGGGCCTCTGCAGGTGGCATACCGGGAAACCATCTTAAACTCAGTTCGTGCCACAGGTAAAAAATAAAACATTTTGGACATTCTGGGTTGTTCAGTGTTTAGTTGTGTAAATAGGGGTCACAGTTTCTAGTGTTCCCATAGTTTTACTGTGTCAATTTTTAAAAAAAAAATTGTGATAAACACAGAAGGCCTAGAGCCATTACTACCCACTCATCAGACAAATGTGTTTCCAGTGGGTATGGGACAGGATAATTCAGGGAAGTAGGTGCTTGTTCCACTCTGTACTCACCACTGAAATGAGTGTAAGAATTTGAAGTCAATGAACTATATTGATTTTATAAAATGATTGAAAAATTTTGCTATTTAATGCAGCAGTCCTATGCTGGTAGCATTCTAGAGAACGTGCAGAAGCAATCCTACGTACACAGGGTTACATGCAGATGAGGACACTAAAGACGGTCGGGGAATGCATGTGTGTGACTAGTGCTCCAGAAAGTACGTACTGACAGTTTCTGTTTCTTTAGAAATTCTAGGTTCCGCCAGGCATTGGTGGCGCACGCCTTTAATCCCAGCACTCGGGATGCAGAGGCAGGCGGATCGCTGTGAGTTCGAGGCCAGTCTGGTCTCCAAAGCGAGTGCCAGGATAGGCTCCAAAGCTACACAGAGAAACCCTGTCTCGAAAAACCAAAAAAAAAAAAAAAAAAAATCTAGGTTTCATAATTGTTTTATTTTTAGCTTATATAAACCTTCTTAGATATTTCATAATAGTGAGCTCAAAGGGAATTATAAAGGCTCAGTTTTTAGTTTTGAATCTGGGATATGAGTTCTTGCATTACATATAGCTGTTTTCTTTCAGTACGATGCTGGTAGCAGCTGTTAGAAACTAGAGCTGTAAGAGTGTGAGCATAGCTCAGTGATGGAGCAAGGTCTCTGGGTTCAATCCCCAGCACTTAAAAAGAAAGTAGAGTCTGGCATGGTGGTTCACGCCTTCAATCCCAGCACTTGGGAGGCAGAGGCAGTCAGATCTCTGAGTTCAGTGCCAGCCTGGTCTACAGAGTGAGTTTCAGGACAGCCAGAGCTAGAGCTGTCTTGAAAAAAGTGAGAGTCTGTCTTGAAAAAAGAAAAAAAGTAGGAAAAAACCAACCAACCAAACAAACAATCAAAAAACAAGGAAAACTGTTTACCTGTATTCCAAGAAAGTTTTTTGGGGGAAAGAAACATTAAATGTTGCTGAAAGAATATATGAAATTTAACAGTTTGGAAATTGGCAGAGGAACAAGTTTTATATTTTTTAGCCATTTTTTATACTCTCTAGATGTGTTATAATCTGAGTGTTATCTTTTTTCAAGCTCTAGTCATTTATTCCATTTACTCTGTGTGTGTGTGTGTGTGTGTGTGTGTGTGTGTGTGTGTGTGTGTGTTTTGAAGACAGGGTTTCTCTGTGTAGCAACTCTAGCTGTCTGGGAACTCCCTTTGTAGACTAAGCTGACTTCAAGCTCACAAGAGGTCTGTCTGCCTCTACCTCCTGAATTCTGGGACTAAAGGCATGTGCCACCAGCCCAGGGTCATTTATGTGGTACTCTTAAAGACTTTTTTTTTTTTTTTTGGTTTTTCAAGACAGGGTTTCTCTGTGTAGCTTTGGAGCCTATCCTGGCACTTGCTTTGGAGACCAGGGTGGCCTCGAACTCACAGAGACCTGCCTGCCTCTGCCTCCCGAGTGCTGGGATTAAAGGCGTGCACCACCAACGCCTGGTTTAAAGACTTCTTTTTAAGTGGACTCAGACTTAGAAGCAGGCAGTATCAGCGGGGGCAGCCTATATCCCTTGGCCTTTATCCTGGCATCTTTCTTTGGCTTCCTTATTTCCTGGACAAAAGTTGTGCATTGTCTGTAGCTATCTCCTTATTTTCATGCATTTCAATGTGTTTGTTTTCAGATACCCTAGACCGGACTCTAGGAGACAAGCGGCATTTTGTGAGAGCAGAACTGGAAGCCCGGCCAGTAGAAGCATCATCTGGCATGGCCGTGATTGAGTATGCTGACTGTATCAGTGTAGACCTACTGCAGGCCTCCCGTGAGGCCATTGAAAATGCAGTGCACAGTGCATGCCTCCAGGGTAAGGGAAGCAAATAAGAGCACAATCTCCCCCTTGACTACGTAGTCCCTCCTTTTTTCTTTATCCTGTAATCTGAGCCAGTTTCTTGTACAAACCAGCATATACTCTGCCTCAGCATTACACTCCTAGCCTCCTAATTATTACATGTTTTACAGATGTTCAGTGTTCTCTCTGTATTTCTTTGAACCTCAGTTGTATTTTTGTTGCATTATTCTTTATTGCTGTATTGTTTATATTATTCTGCTTTATTTTCCTCCTTACTCAGGACCTTTACTTGGATCCCCAGTTCAAGATGTGGCAATAACATTACACTCATTGATGATTCACCCTGGTACCTCCACAACTATGGTTAATGCCTGTGTCTCAAGATGTATCCAAAAGGTATAGAACGAGCAGTCCTTCTGCTTGTTTTTAGGGAACATAGGTATAGAGCAGTCCTTCTGCTTGTTTTTAGGGAACACATGTATAGAGCGAGCAATCCTCCTGCTTGTTTTTAGGGAACACAGCTATAGAGCGAGCAGTCTTCCTGCTTGTTTTCAGGGAACAAAGGTATAGAGCAGTCCTGCTGCTTGTTTTTAGGGAACACAAGGTATAGAGCAGTCCTCCTGCTGCCACTATAAGGGAATGCACCAAGTGAGCACCGTAGATTCCACAGGAAGCAGTACTAACAGACCTGACCTTATGTTCTTGCTGCTATGGGGTCATAAAGATGGCTCATTGGATAAAACACTTGATGCCAAGCCTGATTCTTTTTTAATCTCCAGGATCCATATGGTAGAACGGAAACATGACTCCTGAAAGATGTCTCTGACCACCACATATACAATGTGGTGCTCACGAGCATATGCTATACATACAAATAAATGTAATTTTAAAATTTTAAACTGGTCCTTGAATGGGGAATCTTTGGCCTTAAACCAAGTTTTCATTTGAAATATTTTAGAAATTATTGGTTATATAGATTGCTATTAAAACGTCCTGGTTTTAGCAAAAGATCTATGCCTTCCCCTTTCCAAACACACAGCCATTAGCTACCGGCATGGTGGGTTTAAATGGACAGATTAGGGGTTAGCTTGACACTGGGCTTTAATGTAAACAACAATGAAAATCTAATATTAATTCCAATTTTTAAGTTTGTTCAAATTAGATTGATTTCATTTAAACAAAACAGATCAGTTCCATTGAGAAACAGTACCTTCCCTCTCAAATTACCCACATGTGGTCATCTGAGGAGTGAGTGTCATGGCCATCTGCTGCTTCTTCAGTCACCCACCAGAGCTAGCAACTCCCATGCTTGTTTCCCAGTGTGGGAGCATAGCTTAGCACTGGAGAGTAAAGTGAGGTCAGAGGGAAACCTTTTAACCCTATATGAAGGACTCTGAACTTTGTTGTGGGAACAACGGAGGATAAATTGTTTGAAGACTACAGTATGGTCAGAGCACAGAAGTGACTGGTATGGGAAAGACAGTCTAGGACAGACAAGAAATACATGAGGTCTGAATCAGGATACCAGCAACAGGCTTAGAGGTAATGGAGTTTGCTGAGGAAAAGGAGATCAGAGAAGTATATACAAGTGAACTGAAAACTAGTAATGCCATGAGTAGAAACTGGAGGACAGGAGTGGAGCCCTCAGGTTGGGCAGGGACTGCTGTTGATAATGAACCTCTGCAGTTGGGTGACGTTGAGAAGATAGTGAAAAGGATGGAGGGCAGTTGGGGAGCACTGCTCGTTAGCAGAGTCCAGTCCCATTTGCCCCTTGATTTTCATCCTTGTCACACAATTATCTTGAAAACATTTTCAGCTTCCTTTTGTGGCCTTTGAATTCTAAAGTTGTAAACTGTGTTATACAAGGAAAGGGTTTGCTTATAGAGAATGTTTCGATTGTCTTGTATATATTATCAATTTTTAAAGCTCTTGGTTTCTTACAAAATGTTCTTTGTGGAGTGTTGAAGCAAGTGGGTTACCAGAGTCCTAGGCTCAAGAATATAGGAAATAGTTCAGTTTTTATGTAACTTGGTTTTACTAGAATAGAAATTTGTTCAACTTGTGAAATCCCCTTCAGGCCCTGAAGAAAGCTGACAAGCAAGTCCTGGAGCCACTGATGAGTCTTGAGGTCACAGTGACTGGAGATTACCTCAGCCCTGTCCTGGCAGATTTGGCACAAAGAAGAGGGAACGTTCAGGAAATTCAGACTCGCCAGGACAACAAAGTTGTTATAGGATTTGTTCCTTTAGCAGAGATGATGGTAAGTTCTTAGTGTTTAAACTGTACCCATTGCTTAATATAGGAGATCTACTCTCAGTAAAACCAGGTGGTTGCTAACACCTGAGGGCATCGGGGCTTGGCTTGGGAGAATGTATGCCAAGTTTCAACCAAGAATGATAGGACTTTGGCCATCGGTGGTGGGTGAGAGCTAGGGGACACAGCGCTTCAGGCAGGTTATTTCCACCTTAGGACCACAAAGATTATGGCATACTGTCCCAAATGTAGTCAGTCTGAATGACCATTTTCCCCTTTCTACCTTAGTTTTGAAGCCAACATCATTCTCTTCCCCAACCAGGTTCTTTTGCTCCTGGGATAGGCACTAGGGGTACCAATCAATAAGGAGGAAGGTCAGAGTGATGGCACCAAATTCTTGGGCCTCTGACTGAATGCACAGCTGACTTACCCTATGCTAAATTTTCCTGTTTGACATAATATTTCCTTCTTTGCTTCTCTTTCTTTCCTCCTTCCTTCTTTCCTCCTTCCTTCCTTCCTTTCTTTCTTTCTGAAAAGATGTACGTAGGGTCAGTGGTTTGGCTTTGCCTTACCACCACCTTGTCTGCTGTGGTCTACAGAAAGACTATCAGCAGGAAAAAAAAGCTTAAGGCCTAATAAAATGCAGTAACAAACTGAAATTCTTTTCATTAGGGATATTCAACTGTGCTTCGAACGCTGACATCAGGCTCGGCTACTTTTGCTTTAGAATTCTCTACTTATCAAGCCATGAGTCCTCAAGACCAAAGTACTCTACTCACCCAGAGAAGTGGTTTGGCTCATGTGCTTTAGGACCTTGGGAACATGGATTAATGCCTGGAAAAGCACGGGCTGCTTCATTCTCAGTAAGAACGCTGTTTTTTTCATTGGATGGTAAATTACTGCTTTGGTTTATGGAAAGAACTTGACAAAAGATGTAGATAATGGCATTGGAGCTACCATTCTCATTCTGTGTGGAATGTACTGTTCTCTAAATGCCCCTCTACTGTGTGCCCTGGTTGGATCCCTGACTTCTGTTACTTTGATAAAATAACCTGACCAAGAAGCTTATAAAAGAGTTTGTTTTGGCTTAAGGTCCTGAAGGAGGGTCCACAATTGCAGGGATAGGAAGGCAGCAGGAAGCTGAGAAAGCCCATCTTTAATCTCAAGCACAAAGCAGAGAATGAGAACTAGAAGTGGGGCCAGGCAGTGAGCTCTCCAAGTCCACCCAGTGATGAACTCAAGCAAGGCTGTTCTTCCTAGACCTCCCCAAATAGCACCACCCACTGGAAGCACTTGTCCAAAGGCTCGGGTCTGTGCAGAACATAATTGCTCATTTAAAATTGCCTTTTTACATTTTTCCTTTTGAGTGTTTTACCTACATACATGTCTGTGTACCATGTGTGTGCCTGGTGCCTATGGAGGTGAGAAGTGGATGTTTACATCCCTTAGAACTAGAGTTATGGATACTTATGAACCACCATGTAGACCCAGGAACAGAACTCAGGCCTCTGTAGAAGTAGCAACTGCTCTTAAATGCTGAGCCTTCTATCTAGCTCAACATTTATCAGTAAAGCCATCACAACAATGAAGGCATTCATGCAGATGTTTGGAATATTTGAGTGGTATCACAAAGCTTTTCCTTTTATTTTTTAAGATGCTCACATAATAGATGCCAGTATTCAGTGTGCGATACAACAGGTAGTCAATCAATAAAAAGATGGTTTATTAAAAAAAAACAAAACAAAACCTAACAAATAGTTTTACATGATTTCAAAATCAACATGATTATAGTTCAAGCTGCTGAAGCCTTTTCTGTTCACTTTTTCACTTTATGCTAATGGCCACAATGTCCAGTAAAAAGAGGTTGTGCAGCTATTCCACGGCTGTTGACAGATAACAAAAAAGATGTTTTAGGTTGGTGGCTCTCCCATCTCACATCACTTTAGCAAATCATCCCATCCCCACCCCTTCGGTGACTTACTGATTCTAATTTAAGCACTTAACCCCTTTAAGATGGCAGTTATACTAAAATATATCTTACTGGTGTTACTTTCTCCCCTGCAACAAGGAATGTCCAACTTCTACTAGGTAAATCACTACTTCCTAGGTGACATTTTTATTTATTGCAAAGCAAAAAGCTGAAGACACTAGGCACACACAGTGCTAGACTTTAATAAGAGATCCTAGACTGGAAGGGAGTGCCTCTCACCTGACCATTCTGCAGCGGTGTCTCACCAGTCTGCTGTAGGCATCATCTATGTCAATGACAGTTTCAGGACTCCAGAGTCTCTCACCAACAGCGCTTGCCCGAGGCCTGAAAATTAAAATATGTGTCTGCCAAGGCAATTTAGATTTCTCCTTCCATTAAGTCATCTACTTAAGGAAATTCTTCCTAGTTGCATGGAGAATAAGACCTAAGGCATCTTTTAAGGCAGTTGGTACCCTTTACTTCCTTACCATAATCTTGGAATAAGGTTAGTTGCATCCACGTATTCTCCCCATAGGCAAGCTTCTCCACCAATGACAAGTTGTTTCTGCTTCACAGAACCTGCATTAAAGTAGTTGAAGGGAAAGCAGCTAAGCTGTACAACACTGGCTTTCTTTCTGTAGTCGTCCAATGTTACCTTCCCACACCCTACACCCTGTAGGCAGCAGAAACTTTACTCCCACCCTGGCTCAGTGCTACTCTGAAACAATAAGTCTTTACTCCAAAGCCACCCCAGCCCTGCAGCCATGTGGGCCCATACCACCAGGCCACCGGAGTTCTGCCCGCCCACACATTAAAGTCCCAAGTTACATACAGAGACTTATATTAGGTACAAATGCTGCTTGGCCAAGACTAGATTTCTCATCTGCTAGCTCAGTCTTAATTATCATAATCCATATATTTTATAAGACTTATCTTATTGGATGCCAGCAACAAACTTCCTAGCACACATGGTGACTTCAGAGCAGACAGCAAGAGGAAGAGAGAGAAAAGGACCACTTCCTGTTTGTCCCTGCTTATATATCAGTCTGCCTGCTATGTCACTTCCTGCCTATATCACAAGACTTCTTTTTACTACATTTCCCAGAATCGTCCTCAACGCCTAACTTGCTGCCTCATTGGCCAAACAGTACTTTATTCAACAATCAATAAGATGAACATACACAGAAGGAACTCCCCATCACTATTCAACAGACATGGAAGCCTGTGCTGACTCAGGGTCCTGCACAAACTCCTTTGGACACCTCCTCCCACTTCCTATTATTAGTGGCGTGCCAAGAAATACAAGTTGGAATATTTAGCTTCATTTTAATGGACTATGACCACTACACTTATTTTTGGTTTATATTCCTTTGTATTTGATAACAGAACAAAAAAGAGTATCTAAAAACTATTTTTTTCGAGACAGTGTTTCTCTGTAGCTTTGGAGGCTGCCCTGGAACTGGTTCAGTAGACCAGACTGGCCTTGAACTCACAGAGATCTGCCTGCCTCTGCCTCCCAAGTGCTGGGATTAAAAGCATGCGCCACCATTGCCCAGAGTCTAAGAACTATTTTTTTATACCTAATGTATAAAAATGCATTGTGGATCCTCAAAATGCTTGTGGAGAAAAACATAGTTTTCAGTGGATCAATATTTTTGAGATTTTTAATCATAACATCATTTTTTAAGCTAAAGACTGATAGACAAAAACCGAATAAATTAGAATTGCTAATAAAGTGGTTGAAAACCCAGGACTACACAGCCTGAAATCCACAGAAGAAATGGTAACCTTACCCTTACTTAGATGCCTTACAGAGTTAACACAGCCAAACATCTCTCAGATATAGAAAGCACTACATGAAAATGGAGGCAAATCTAAGTGGGATCTACTTATGTATTATTTCATTTAGAAAGCACACTATTCCTTTCAGAAGTTAAAATGATACCAAATCTTTATCTTTAATAAAATCAAAGACCGGACATAAAAGGAATAATAGGCATCCAAGTTAGATTTGGGATGAGAGAATGAAAGTTATGGAAGAAAGTAGCAGTAATGATGGTTGCTTTACTTACCGTCAAATTTAAGAGGCTCTACTGTGTAGTATTTTTTCCAGTCTTGCCCGTAGCTAATGATGTCTAAGTACCAAGGAGCAGAAAGGATTGCTTTGAAGCCAGAAAATGTGACTTCTTCTAGCTTCGCCAAATAATTTTCATTTTTCCACACTTCAACCACTGTGTCCGGCTGAAGCTAAAGGTGCAGATGGCAATCACAGTATTAGGTCTAGCTAAAACAATCTTTAAGGCCTTGGAATAACTTTCTAAGATCTTAGAAAAAAAATCATATATCCTATTTTCTTTTTCCTAACAGTCAGTGTCATATGCTATTCACTCACCATGTTTTCATTGCTACTTAAATTTTCTTCGACCCTTAAAACTGGATATTTAACTTTATCTAAGCTAACACCTCAGAGAGGTAAAGAACTCAGGGTAAGATGTGCTCCTTGATCCTATTCCCGACACACTAATATTTTACTTAACCTGGAACCATGAGACTATCACCAGCCCCCCAGAGAGGTAACAGTGGTAGCTGCACTTGTGAGATCCACTACAAATAAATAATAAGTAATTGTGTCAGAACAAATATTTCTTAAAAGTGTATATTAATTTTACTTATTTTAAAACCACTTTAACACTATGTTTTGAAAAAGCTCAGGCTGGAGAAATGGCTCAGAAGTTAAGAGCATGGACTGTTCTTACAGAGGTCCTGAGTGGAATTCCCAGCATCCACTTGGTGGCTCACAATCATCCCTATGATATCTGGTGCCCTCTTCTGGTGTGCAGTTGTACATGGAAGCAGAATGTTGTAGACATAATAATAAATAAATAAAATCTTTTAAAAAAAGAAAAAGAAAAAAGAAAAAGATCAGTTGTTGTCTGTTTTGCTCCTAAAAACATAAAAGAACTTAATTCAAAATACTTCAACTTGTGAGACAGCAGGAGTTGGGGGAAGAAATGAGAATAAAAAAGTGAGGTCATATGTCTGCACACTATAATTGTGCACACACGTGTATGGGTAGGCTTGCCATCATGCTCTAATCACTATACCCTCAAGAAAATCTCACTGAACCTGGAGCTATGCTGGAGCCAGCAGGTCCCAGCAACCTCCTTGTCCCAGTCCTGACAGTGTTTGGGTTACAGGTACACACTAGGCCATGCTTGGTTTTGTTGTTCTTTGAGACAGGGTTTCTTGTTTAACAGTCCTGACGGTCCTGGAACTTACTTTGTAGACCAGGCTGGCCTCCAACTCACAGATTAGCCTGGCTCTTCTTCACAAGAAAGTGCTGAGATTAAAGGTTTACACCATCACCACTCAGCCAGATTTTTTTTGTTGTTTTTTAAGTTTGTTCTTGACAATTTCGTATATGTATATAATGCATACTGATTAGTCTCTCCCTTGAATCTTCAATCCCTTCCCCCCACTAGTGACTTGGTTTGTGAGACCACTGGACTGCTGTGATCTCTTGGACCTGGTAGGGTCACCAGTATATATATATATATACTGAAGCAATGCCTCCTCTCCTTGAATCTATCTGTAGGAAAGAGTTCAGCAGTGAAGAAATGGAGCCCTCCAGCCCTTCCTCCATCCAACCTCACTGCTGATGAACACCCAACTTTTAAATAGGTGCTCAGACTGGTACAGCAAGCAGTCTCACCCACTGAGCCATCACTACAGCCCTGAGTGGAGTTTTCACAGTTCTTACCTCTACTTTATCATCAAAAACCTCTTGCCAAACAATGGAGCCTTTTTTCAAGGATGTAATAATATCCAAAATGCTAAAATTGGAAACATTGACAGTTATTTAGGATCACAAAGTTAACGCTCTTCAACATGCATGTTTTCTACCAGGAACAGCTTGCAACGTTGACAAGTACTGTACCTCACGATAACATAGCAATACAGAACCAGCTAAAGTTGGGTAGGAGGCAAGGTAGAGAGACAGGCCAAGGTTAAGGGGCTTGGGAAATGGAAAGAATTCTTTGGCCTTAAGACAACCTGAGATATGTCTTGCTGGCTAGAGACTGCCTCCAAAGAAACTACACAGAAAGTATGCTACCTTAAAATACCAAGATTATTAAGGCAAGATTATTAAGATTAGTGCCATACTCAGGATAAAAACATTTCTTACCCTTTTATAGAAAACCTGACTTAATTTTTAAATATTGATCCATATTTTTGTCTTCCTCATATGTAAGCTTCCCCTTATCTTATAGATCACCTCTTTAAACAATGTAATCCCAAAGTCCTCCAATCACGTCCATAGCCTCTACTGAACCACTTAGGTACTGCCCCCCTGACCGAAATCTTCCTGGATGCATCTGCCCTTCTAATTGAACTCAAGTATTTCACTGTGACTTGTGAGAGTCAGCCACACATGAATGGAGATCCCTCAGGAGTTGCCTCAGGGCAGACAACTTCGAACCTGAGCTTTGTTCCCCATGCTTGTGACACATTTCTACAGAACAGTGGTTCGCAATCTTTGTAATGCCACTTTAATACTGTTCCTCGTGTTGTGACCTCCAACCATAAAATTATTATTGTTGCCACTTCAGAACTGTAATATTGCTGCTGTTAGGAACTGTAATGTAAATATCTGATGTTTCCAATGGCCTTAATCCACAGGTTGGAAGAAAGGAAACTGACACCTAGCCTGACATGTCACGTCAATAATGTTCAGTTATTAGCTGGCACACATACTTAGTTAGGCAATAACAAACACTTCAAAGGGTAAATAAGAAAGAAAACATCACACAAAAAGCTAAATAGGAAGGAACAGATGAACTCTGAGCCTCCCAAATGGATAGAGCAGAGCAGAACTTGGAAAACCACAGCATGCAGCCTTTTTTCTATGGCTGACAAGCTAAGAATGGTTGTTGAATTTGCAAAGCGTTCTCTCTCTCTATGTGTGTCTTTGTGTCTCTCTGTCTTTCCTGCCAGCTCTGGTTCTTCTATGGAAAACAATGTGCTGATTCCCAGCAGAGAAGCACAGCCAGACTTTTGGGAAACGTGACTGTGAAACTGTCCTGTGCACTGTCCTGTGAAACACTGTACATGGAGCTGATGCAGCTGAGGACTTAACTGCCTTTAACTCTAATGCAACAAGCAGGCTTGTGCATCTCTGGCTACTGGACACACAGCATAGGGAGCAAGAGCCATGCTCTAGGACTTGACAAATGGAACTAGTTGCAGCATCTGGGTAGTGATGGGGATGCAGGCAGCCATCACTCGGAGCCAAGTTCTCAAATACATGGCTTCTCCCTCTATTTCAATGGGTATTGCAAAATGCTCATCATTTTAAAGAAAACAGTATATAGAAGTTCCTTCTGTAGTGGGTTTTCATGTCTCCACTTTTATAAGGGGTGGAGAAAATGAAACAGTAAAGCAGAGAACTAAGTTACAGCTTAAACTTGTACAAAAGCATTGATAAGTAGGCTTTCTAGTGACTTACTTTTTAATATAGAAAGATTCCAGTCTTTTAAAGTTCTTACCAAACCCCTTTTTCTGCATGAAATCTTGGATATTAGGATTTGATGACCTTAAAGAAAACAGTGAATGAAATGTTACAGACATCTTGATTTGGTTACTTTATTATTAGTAGTAGTGTGCATCTAACATGTCAGTTATACCAACTTTAACATACTAAAGGATCCAAGTTCTTGGTTATGAGTTCCCTTAGTTTTCTAATGCAAATTATTTTTCCCAGAAATGCTTTTCCAGAAATGACTCCCATTTTAAAAAAGGTTTACCATACCTATCCTCCATCTCAGCCCCTTTACAATCTAAGGATTCTGACTTGAACATCCTCCTTATTAGTCTTTCCCCTTTTCACTAAAGCTCTCTTGTCCTTATAGTCTTTTAGGTTTTTTGAGACAGTCTCACTATAGTCAGGTTTTCCTTGAACTACCAATACCTAACATTTATTATCCGGAATACGGGAATTAGATATGTGCCACCAAGACTGGTTATAGATTTTGTTATTCTTTTTTTCTTGAGTCACTTTATAGACCAGGCTTGTCCTTGAACTTAGTTATAGGCATGAGCGGCCATCCAGCTTCTGCCCCTTGATTCTTCTTCCTAAGCTTTTTCGCTTGTTGCACCTCTCAGAATATAATAACTGACTTTCTCAGGAGTTGCTGGAACCCTTATAAGAAGAAATGTTACCCCCAATCTTTCCTTTGTCCGTGTGGATTCTTTATGTCTACACCTTATGAACAAAACCTGAAAACATAAATAAAGGTTCAGATTTAACATACCAACACTGGAAATCTACTTCATCTCCTCCCAAATGAATGAACTCATCTGGAAACACACTGCTGATTTCATTGAAAAATGTGTTAAAGAATGTATAAGTTGTATTTAGAGTTGGGTTTATAGGTCCAACTCTTTCAGTTTCCTTTTTTTCGATGTAACATGGAGTTAGAAGGTCTTTCTGACCTAGAAGAAAATACAAAGATTTATTTTTTAAGTATATTAATCACAAAGACTTGAATTTGCACAATTATGCTATAGATGTTACTCCCCTTACAATAGTATTGAATCCCAATAAACTCCATGAATTGAACACATCAGTAGTCAAAAATTCATTTGACACACTAACCCACCCAGTGTAGCGCAGGATATAACACACACTGCAGCATCTGTGTGTGTGTATCTGCTGGGGCCTGGAGACTTCAGAACTGTGTCTACTCAGATCATATCCCTCATCTGGGAAAAGACCAGGATTCAAAGCATGTTTCTATTGAGGATGAATCCCTCTGATACCATCATCATAACAAACCATGATAAACCTGACCATCTGGACTTTATGTTGGTGAAGCCACAGAAATTTTATATAGAAAAGTCAACCACATTCACAAGATTCATTTGGCAGTTTCTCCCCAGGAAGACAAGAGCTGCTTCCTCCATTCCTCGTTTTCTGCTTTACACAGACTTTGAGGTCTTACCCACTTCAAATATCCGTCAGGGACTCAAACTTTTTCTTTGAGCTTCAATACATAGTTCAGATTCCCTGCTCAATAAAAATAGAGACCCTTGCTGCCTTTCAATATGATCTAACAAAAAACCCAAATCTCCTTCTCTGGATTCTGCCAGGTCTGCTTGTTGGCCTTCCTAAACTCTGAGGCCTCTCTTCCTGGAGTTGATTACCAAGTTCTATGATGTGTTTCCAGAACATTTCTGGTTCTGCTCATTATTATTCAAGTCCAGGTTGACCCTTCCAGTGTGCGATCTCCAGGGTCTTTCTCCTTACAGTCAGTTCCTTTCACAAAGGTTTTCCCCAAAAGTGACCCCAATCATGTTACTTCTCTACTCAGAAATTTACACTGGTTTCTGGGGTGTCCTTACAAAGCCCACTAGTCATCAAGAGCCTTGATGATACCCTTCCCAGATTCAGTTCCCATTGTTTTCCATGTCTACCATGATATTACTATGTACTGAACAAGTACAAATGCTGGGCCCCATGCTATGTACTTTCTATTATTTATTTGATGCTTAGAAATGTTAGCTGAATTTTGTAGATGGGGAAACTGGAGGTGACATGTTAACTTTCCCAAGGCTTGCTCCAAATGACAAAAGCAGGATCTGAATGCAGACAGGCTGGCACCAGAGCCCACATTCTTAGTCGCCACCTGTAGCATCTCCTAAAATTTTTCCACTCTGTTCCCACTACATACTATCTTTGAATGCCTTTCCTCATGCTATTCCCTCCAGCAGAAACATGACTATATTCTGTGCTCTCCCAAAACATGCCCATCAGTAAAATGAAACTAAGTTATCATGTTCTACTTATAATCAAGTTTTCTACTTTCCCAACTTTGATATACGAGGTGGTACCTAGACAGTGACTTAGAAGGGACACAAAATCTGTAGCACTTTTGCTACCATTGCACAAACCACACTTAAGAACAACACTACCAAACTATTAAGAGACAAAGGATCTCAAGTACCCCCTTTTCAACCTGTGAAACAAAGTCCTTACCTTTTCCCCAAGACTGTGTATGTCCAGGGGTATCAAATTCTGGTATAACTCGAATTCCTTGGAACCGGGCATATTCAAGCACCATTTGGACATCTCTTGGTGTATAGACATGAGACAAAGAATAGCTTCCCTGTAATATTCAAGTTAAGATGGATTTGGCCCTGGAAACCATAAACAATTTCATTTATCCTTTGCTGGCCAGTTTTCCTATTACCAGAGGGTAGTAAACAGTCCTGCCTAACACTGGACGATTCCTAGTTTCTGAGCTGAATTTATAAAAATGATGAATTTTTGCCCGCTGCTTTCATAATTGACTAATGGGATTGTCAGTGCTTTCTGCTTTAAGAATATACACAGACTTTGATGGTTCCTCATGGAATGCCTCACCCTCTCTGAGGAATGGATGGGGGATTGAATGGGGAGATGGTAGAAGGAATGGGAGGGAGAGGGAACTGGGTTGGTATATGAAATAAGATTGTTTAAGAAAAAACTTAAAGAAATGTCCATAGTTACTTCAACTTTTTGCAAGCTAACGGCAAAACAAACAAAATGTTTGCCTCCAGAGTGAAAACACTGCTCTTGTCAAGTTTAGAATCCAAACTGGGGGGGGGGGACCAAAATAGTTCCCTTATGGAATGTTTTGAGGTCCAGCCTCTGGTTTCACTAAACAGGAGCACCCTAAAGCTCTGGCTCACTATTGTATTGCTAATGCTAGCAGGTCCCCTATTGTTTACCATAGCCTCAGTATAGAATGCCTCCTAGTTTGTATCTCTATGGGCCTGAGCATCTGAATAGGCTTGCATCTGGGCAGAGGTGTGAGGAGGCTCCAAACAGAGAGTTAGGAGCCATCTAGCAGAGAGGAGAACAGAAGGACAGAAGTGTTCTCCTGTCCATGGAAGCATGGTTAAGAAACAGCAGAAAAGATGGTAAATAAAGAGACTCTAGTTTTACAACATGGAACTGAGAGCTCTCTAAATCTGACAGGATGCCTGTACTTGGTCTTTATCGCCGCTGGGTTGCTAGGAGTTTCCAGGTCCACACACCCCCCACTCAGGCTGAACCTCATGACTTAAGGCTGAGACATGCCAGGTCATGACACCAACTCAACCATTATTACAAAACACAGATTTCTTGTCTTCTAATCTATGTAACTAATATCACCTAAAAATTTACCACCAGACAATAAGTAACTTTTTTTGGGGGGGGAGGGGGTTCGAGACAGGGTTTCTCTGTGGCTTTGGAGGCTGTCCTGGAACTCGCTGTGGTAGACCAGGTTGGTCTCGAACTCACAGAGATTCTCTGCCTCTGCCTCCCTAGCGCTGGGATTAAAGGCATGTGCCACCAAAGCCCGGCAGTTACTTTCTTTTTTTTTTTTTTTTTTTTGAGGGATTGAAAAATCTGTATTTGTGAGCACTAATATATATTTCCAGAATTTAAAATTAAATATTACTAAATAAAAATAGCTTTTACTACTAACTGAAAATATATTTGAATAATGACATTCACAGATAATTCAAGACATTAAGCAATGGAGACAGGAAGATCAGTTTTATGTGTGCAGTTTTATGTGTGATTTGAGTTTTAGTAAAGTTTCTTTTACAAACGTGGATGCCTTTCTATTTGGGGCACATATGTTCAGAACTGAGACTTCATCCTGATGGATTTCTCCTGTGATGAGTAGGAAATGACCTTCTTCATCTCTCTTGATTGATTTTAGTTTAAAGTACAATTTTTTGGATATTAGGATTACTATCCCCGCTTGTTTCTTGGGTCCATTTGATTGAAAATCTTTCCCCAACCACTAATTCTTAGGTACCGTCTGTCTTTGAAGTTGAGGTGTTTTTCTTGTATGCAGCAGAAGGATGGATTCTGTCTTCTTATCCATTCTGCTAATCTGTGTCTTTTTATAGGGGAGTTACAACCTTAAAGTTGATGGATATTAATGACCATTGAATGTTAATTCTTGTTTGTTTTTGATTTGGTGATGGTGGTGAGATTATGTATGGGATTCTATCCCTTTTTCCTTTAGGCTGTTTTTAAAATGGGGTTATCTATTGCCTATATTTTTCTGGTTGTAGTTAGCTTCCTTAAGTTGCAGTTTTCGCTTTCTGTAGGGCTGGATTGGTGGATATGTATTGTTTGAATCTGGTTTTGTCATGGGATATCTTATTTTCTCCATGTATATTGATTGAAAGCTTTGCTGGATATAGTAGTCTGGGTGGCATCCATGGTCTCTTTGTAGGTAGAATATCTATTCAGGACCTTTTGGCTTTCAGAGTTTCCATGGAAAAGTCAGGTGTGATTCTGATAGGTTTGCCTTTATAAGTTACTTGATGTTTTTCATTTGTGCTCTTAATATTTTGTCTTTGTTCTGTATGTTCGATGTTTTGATTATTGTGTGCCAAAGACCTTTTTTTTTTTTTTTTTTTGGTTCAGTCTATTTGGTGTTCTGTAGGCTTCTTGTATTTTCATTGGCATGTCTTTCTTTAGGTTGTGAAAAG